AAGACACGTGCACCCCTAGGTTCACTGCAGCATTATCACAACAGCCAAAACTTGGAAGCAACCTAGGTGCCCATCAAGGGAAGTATGGACAGAGAAGATGTGGTGTGTATACACAATGGAATGCTACTCGGCCCTAAGAAACGATGAGATCCGGCCATTTGTGACAACGCGGATGGACCTTGAGGGTATTATGCGAAGTGAAATAAATCAGAGGGAGAAAGTCAAACACCGTGTGATCTCACTCATGAGTACATGATAAAAACAATGACGAACACGCACAGAGCAACGGAGATTGGATTGGTGGTTACCGTAGGGGGAGGGGGGGAGGGGAGAGAGCCAAAGGGGCGATGAGGCTCACATGTGAGGTGACGGACTATAATTAGTTTTTGGGCGGTGAACACGACGTAATCTACACAGAATTCGAAATGTATTACAACGTACCTCTGGAAAGCTACGTGATGTTAGAATCCACTGTCACTGCAATAAAGTAAAATAAAATAAAATAAAACAAAATAAAATAAAGAAGTGTAGGAGCCTCAAGAGGCTAACAGGCTTTTGCAAAGTTATTCTAGGGATTTTTACGGCTTGGCTCAGGGCGGCAGACACCAGCCTGAGACACAGCTGTGACATAGCCACGAACTTCAACTCGACTATATTCCGACTGGAGGGAAGTCAAAACTACTGTAATCATAATTTATTGAAGGCTTCGCTTTGTGCCAGATCCTGCGCCGACTGCTTTGCACCAACTGTCTCGTTTAATCCTCACATCCAAAAGGTAGGTTACCGTTATTCTCCCCATTGTAAAGGTGAGGAGAGGAGGCGGAAGCAGAAAGATGGCAACCTGCCTGGAATTCACAGAAGGATTCTCTAGGTAATGACGTGACTTTTGGACAAGACTTAAAGGTTTAACACATGACAGTGAAGACGCAGATCCCAGTATCACAGAACGTGAAAAACACTGAGTCCTGCCAAATGGATTAAAACACTAACTATGGATCCTCACAATCTCTTGGCCTGTTTTCTCAGGTGAGGGAAAACCCGGTGTGGAAAACCGTTGAGGAGATGACTGCAGATGAGGACTATGGCTGGTCTTTAAAGCCGGGAACTATCCCAGTAGATTCTGAGTCAGTGGGTCCAGAGTAGGCCTCGAGCGTCTCCGTTCTTTGACAGAGCCCCACAGGCTACACTCCCGTGCCCTTGGAGTTGGGAAGTACCGTCAGGCGCTACATCAGGACGTTTCAGTCAACAACGGGGGTCCCAAAAGATTAGTCCCATATGTAGCCAAGGTGTATAGGAGGCTCTGCCATCTAGGTTTATGAACTCCGTGGTGCTTGCACGCTCACGAGATTGCCTGACCGTGACGCACTCCTCAGAACCTAGCCCCACTGTTAAGCAAAGCATGACTGCACTGCCTTAGATTCTCCACGGTTCCGGACCCTGCACGGTTTAGATGACTGCACACGCAGAGGGCACCGCGTCTGAGGCAGAGAGCGGCTGGAGTCACAAAAGCTCTCGACAGAGAGTCAAGGAAAGGCGTGCTCTGCTTACACGACTCTCTACTTTTCTCTGGGTCTGAACTATTTTACAGCTAATCTACTTTTTTTAACCGAGCAGCTTTGCCAAGAAAAAGTTACCAACAAATACCAGCCAAACCAATATAAGCGATACCTATTAAATAAGCCTGACCCTACTAGGCTACTGACAAGGCTTTTATTTCCCTGGGATAATCTGGACAGCATTAGATTCTGTGACCAAGAGCAGCCAAGTCGAGGGAGATTATTTCTAATTCCACAGTGCCACAGATGCGGTCAGTAGCAACTGCAAGCTGGAAAGGAAACAAAGCCGGGTGTAATCCATTCCAGTTCACACGTTGCACGAGGGACAGCCTCCAAGCCTTGAATACTTATGTATGCATTTATCCATTTATTTAATCAACCACTACTAACGCCTACTGAAGGCCAGACACTGCTCTAAGTCCTTTACGGACATGAAATAGCCTCTAACCTTTACACTCACCTATGGAGTGTGTGTTATAATCATCCCCGTTTTACAGATCAGGAAACTGACACACAGAATGGTACAGTAACTTGCCCAAGTTCACACAGCCCGTAGGTGGCAGAGCTAGGACCCATGTGACAGAGTCTGGCTCCAGAGTCCACGTGCTGAATCACCACGCTTAGTCTCCGAAAAGCCTATAGAAAGCGCCAGCCTTAATCGAAAAGTTTGGTTTTCCCCACCCTACAGTCCCTACGCGGCCCCAGTCTCCAGGGCATGCTTTCAGCTCCTCTGACAGGCCATCCTCCTCCCTTGCCCTGTCCCAACGCTCTCCCGCACAAGTCCTCCTTTGCTTTTAGGCATCTGCTCTCAGCTTACAACATCACTGCCTAAGTCACAAAGTCTAACAGTAAATGCCGTATTTCTCAGCACTCAACACAGAATGGCTTTTACGTATGCTCCTAGGTAATTAGTTGCTGCCTATCTGTCCTTTCCAACTAGGCTGCGAGGTCCAGTACGTCAAACACCCTGTCAGTCTTGCCCACCAAGTGTCCAGACCACTGAACACGCACCGACCCGAGGAAAGGAAGTCCCAAAGTCAACTCTCCAGACTTTCTGTGGAAGGAGGGAACGAACGGAGCACCCTCCAGCCTCACGCTTTCTTTGCCAGACTTTCAAGTGTGGGACACACACCTGTGCTCACAATGCTCCCCGGACAGCCCCCACTGCACCCCTAACAGGTAGACTTCTGCCCAGTCAAGGCCTTTGGAAAGCACTGGCTCTGCACACGAATATTATGCGGCCCTCCACAGGCCACTTCCCCTGAACCGGCCTGAGCTTCAGGGCCACGACAGGCTTCGTGAAAACCCCAACGGAACGTAGCCTCGAAAAGAGGGAGACCTGCACCCCTCAGAACGCATCGAGACCAGTGTCGTTACCGACGTCGCGTCTGGCCTTCCAAGAAGCCAAGACCACGGGCGCCGCTTCAGCGCCCGACTCCCGGGCACCGCATCCCCAGGCTGGCCCCTGGGCAGGTGCCCGGCACACACCGCCCGTTCCACGAACGCGTGAAGCGCACGAAGAGACCCCCTCGCTGCCCGCGCCGCGCAGCTGTCCCGCGGCCTGACGGGCACCTCTCGGCGCACAAGCCTATTCCTCAGGGACACGCTCGCCTCCCACCAGCCCCCAGGCCCACGCCCCCAGGTACCTCTCCCAGATGGAATCCTCTTCGCAGGCGCCCTGGTCGTCCGTGTCCGGCGAGCGGAAGAGCGGGAGCTGAAGGAGGGCCTCCTCAGGCTAGCGGCCGTGGCTGTGGAGGGCCCGGGCTGCTGTGCCCAGCGGGGACACGGAGCGGCGTCCAGGGACGCCGGGGGAACGGGCGAGCCCGGCCCAGGAGAGAGCAGCAGAGCGCGGCCGGACTCCGCCGGGCTCGGCTCTGGGCAGGCAGGCGCGGCTGGCCGACGCCTCCCCGGACGGCGGCCCAGCAGCCGTGCGCGCTCCCCGCGCGCGCGCGCGCGCCGCGCCCAGAGGCTCCCTGGCCGCTGCCCGCCCCACCCCCCCCCCCTCAGGCGGTGGACTGCGGACAGGGACAGGGACACCCTCCTGGGAGAACTCCTGGGCCCCGCCCACCGCTCGCTCTCGGGGAACTGCAGCCTCCTCGGGTCTGACTGCAATGCCACACCCGAAACCATGCAACGTCTAGAAGAAAACATAGGCAGTATGCCCTTTGACAGCAGTCTTAGCAGCCTACTTTCAAGTACCATGTCTGACTGGGCAATGGAAACAAAGTACAAAATGAACAAACGGGACTACATCAAAGTGAAAAAAAATCTTCTGCACGGCAAAGGAAACCATCCACAAAACCAAAACACAACCTAACAACTGGGAGAAGATACTTGCAAACCATATATCGGATAAGGGGTTTATATCCAAAACACAGAAAGAACTCCGACAGCTCAACAACAACAAAAAATCAACAACCCGATTAAAAAGACGGGCAAAAGATCTGAGCAGTGACTTCTCCAAAGAAGGTATACGGGTGGCCAACAGGCATATGGAAAGGGGCTCAACATCATTAGCGATCAGAGGAAGGCAAATCAAAACTACAAGGAGAGGTCACCTTCCTCTGGTCAGAATGGCTCTAATTAACAAGACAGGAGACAAGTGTCGGAGAGGATGTGGAGAGAAGGGAACTCTCCTACACTGCTGGTGGGAGTGCAGACTGGTGCAGCCACCATGGAAAGCCGTATGGAGTATCCTCAGAAAACTAAGAATACATCTACCATATGTATGATCCAGCTAGCCCACTGCTGGGTATTTATCCAAAGAACTGGAAAACACCAATGCAGAAAGACACATGCACCCCTAGGTTCACTGCAGCATTATTCACAACAGCCAAAACTTGGAAGCAACCTAGGTGCCCATCAAGGGAAGTATGGACAGAGAAGATGTGGTGTGTATACACAATGGAATGCTACTCGGCCCTAAGAAACGATGAGATCCGGCCATTTGTGACAACGTGGATGGACCTTGAGGGTATTATGCGAAGTGAAATAAATCAGAGGGAGAAAGTCAAACACCGTGTGATCTCACTCATGAGTACATGATAAAAACAATGACGAACACGCACAGAGCAACGGAGATTGGATTGGTGGTTACCGTAGGGGGGGGGGGAGGGGAGAGAGCCAAAGGGGCGATGAGGCTCACATGTGAGGTGACGGACTATAATTAGTTTTTGGGCGGTGAACACGACGTAATCTACACAGAATTCGAAATGTATTACAACGTACCTCTGGAAAGCTACGTGATGTTAGAATCCACTGTCACTGCAATAAAGTAAAATAAAATAAAATAAAACAAAATAAAATAAAGAAGTGTAGGAGCCTCAAGAGGCTAACAGGCTTTTGCAAAGTTATTCTAGGGATTTTTACGGCTTGGCTCAGGGCGGCAGACACCAGCCTGAGACACAGCTGTGACATAGCCACGAACTTCAACTCGACTATATTCCGACTGGAGGGAAGTCAAAACTACTGTAATCATAATTTATTGAAGGCTTCCTTTGTGCCAGATCCTGCGCCGACTGCTTTGCACCAACTGTCTCGTTTATCCTCACATCCAAAAGGTAGGTTACCGTTATTCTCCCCATTGTAAAGGTGAGGAGAGGAGGCGGAAGCAGAAAGATGGCAACCTGCCTGGAATTCACAGAAGGATTCTCTAGGTAATGACATGACTTTTGGACAAGACTTAAAGGTTTAACACATGACAGTGAAGACGCAGATCCCAGTATCACAGAACGTGAAAAACACTGAGTCCTGCCAAATGGATTAAAACCTAATATGGATCCTCACAATCTCTTGGCCTGTTTTTTCAGGTGAGGGAAAACCAGTGTAAAAACCGTTTGGGAACCTTGTATAGGCTCTCAGTGAACTGTAATTTTAATTTTCAACCTGGCAATAAAGCAGTAGACATCAAATTTCTCTTTCTTTCTGCTTTCTGAGGAATTAACTGCTTTTGTAATTCAGCCACTGTGCATACCTTCCTTGATTTCCCCTCCTTTCCATATGCTCCTCCATGTATTTAACAAATGTACATGAATTCTGTGTTGTTTTTTATTAGTGTGATGGCAACAATCAGAAGATTTTTGAATATCATCTTACTTTGAAGTTTAGCCTGGAAGCCACCACTTCTCCCGTTGGTGTATGTATGGGAACATTTTCGCAAATAATTCCATGATCCACATCAATAACTTCTCCTATAAGTTAAGGAACGACTTAAGTTACAAAAGCTATCACACGTTATTCTTAACTACGTAAATAACTTAAAGTATAATGCAACATAGATAAATTCGTTATAAAGATAATTCACAGTAACAAATCAGAAAACCAAGTGAAATATAGATATCTATATCTAAAGAAAAGTTTAACGTAAATTTGGACGTTTTGACACATCTACTTGGAAAATCTTTCTCAGAAACATTACTTACCAATAACCTAATGTCAACATCATAATGAGAGCAAAGCTAAACTCTATCTGATATAACCCAGCCATACTCTTTACAACTACTTGTTTCTCTAAATTAACCTTTCTTACAGAAAAAACACGGTGCCCCAGAAAGGGAATTAAGACATTTATATATAATTTTTAAAAATATGATAACCAAATAAGTTTAAAAACATAGGATGATGAAGAACAATATGACATTAGTTCTAATTCTGTTATTTGATTTTTAAAAGCAAACAATTCATTCTGCCATATGTGCAGTTTCCAAAAATAATTCTAGAAATTTTGTTCTAAATAAAGGTAACAATTTTTTTTTAATGGTAATGTTAGTCACCACTCCTCACACTGCAATACTAAGTTTAGGAATAACTATTTAAATAAATAAATGTTGGTTTCTTTTATCTGTTAAAGACTAGCTTCTAAAAAACTTTAGTTCTGTTGATAAACACTTAAATACAGGAAAAATACAAAAAAATTTGAGTCTAATACCTTTGATTTCCAACGTATCACTGAGGGATAATTCTATGTTAGCTCCATTCTTGCTATGGTTTTCAGACTCTTGCATGCAGCAGTTCTCTTATAAATGCCTCTTTTCACTTCATCAAAGACCCAAAACATATTGTACACTCGAGCAGTATAGCCTGCTAATTCAGTGATCTAAAACCAACACAGAGAAATAAAATAGAGTTAATATACTCAAGACAGACTTAAAAAAATATGCAATCATATAAGCTTTTTGATTTAATATTAAAGATCCTATTTTATTATACATGAAAAATAAATAACATATCTGATAACTAAAACAAGTAACGGTAAAAAGTTTCTCAAGAGAGCAACATAGCAACGTGTCAATGTAAGTTTGATTGGGATTATAAAACACATAAAAAATTATTCATTCAAGTCACGGTTAAAAACAAAATGTAAAGATTTCAGAATATTAGTGAGACTTAAAAATCTTTGGTCAAGGGGCTGGCCCCACGGCCAAGTGGTTAAGTTTTCACGCTCCACTTCAGCGGCCCAGGGTTTTGCCGGTTTGGATCCTGGGTGCAGACCTAGCACCGCTCATCAAGTCGTGCTGAGGTAGCATCGCACATAGCAGAACCAGAAGGACCTACAACTAGAATATACACTGTGTACTGGGGGCTTTGGAGAGAAGGGAAAAAAAAGATTGGCAGCAGATGTTGGCTCAGGTACCGATCTTAAAAAAAACAAATCTTTTGGGGCCAGCCCCGGGGCCGAGTGGTTAAGTTTGTACGCTCTGCTTCAGCGGCCTAGGGTTCACCAGTTGGAATCCTGGGCACAGACACGGCACTGCTCATGAAGCCATGCTGAGGCAGCGTTCCACATAGCACAACTAGAAGGACCCACAACTGAAAATACACAACTATGTACGGGGGGCTTTGGGCAGAAAAAGGAAAAAATAAAATCTTCATAAATAAATAAATCTTTAGTCAAATTTCTGATTTGACTCGTTCAAATGACAGATTTCATTTCCAGAAAATTAGAAATTTTGTGAAAAGCTTAAGTTCATTCAATGAAATTATGATCCTTTATTTTGATATCTTTTTTCAATTTAAAATAGGTTTTAAATAGAAGAAAAATACATATTTTTCTTATTAGAAATGAATGCTTCTGAGTCAAATTGATTGTCAAAATTCCTAAGCTTGGCAGAGAAAATATCCCTGCTAGAGGATACCAAAATTGGGAGTGAGCTCAATGTAAATCTTCAACTCCTTTTCAGTCCAAATTCCACAATTCAGCTTCTTTTCAAGCCAAACATGATTTATATGCCCAAAGAAAAACATTAAATATGACTGTTTTCTAGGTGAGATTAAAGATAAGATGAGATAAATCTCTGCTTTAGTCCATAAGGCTCAATAGAGTGGTACCTTGCTCCTATCCTGCCAGTGATCCAATTTAGGCTGAATCTCCTGCTGTTTTTCTATTAAAAGAACACCTTGTTGTCAGGGTACTGTGAAAGGTGACTCATCTCCTGTCAAGACCATCTTTCTCAGTGAAAAGGAAAGCACAAAAACCATTCCCTTACAGAAATGTTTACTAGGAAACTGGAACCAGTAAGCGAGGCAGGTCACTAGTAAATGTCTCTTAAACAATAAATTGTGGAATAATACAACAATGCTGACATTTGTGTAAGATTTTTGTGTGTGCAAAACAAGCAGTAAAAGAGTGCATATTACTGTCAAAAGCTTTCTACCGTGTTTCTACTGTGTGAGAGGTCTGTAGCTGGATTAGTATCGCATTTCTATATGTTAATGTTATAGCTATTTAAAGGGTAATTTCTCAAATGTTATCCACAAAAATCTCCTGAGTTCTCAAGCAGAGGAAAACAGAGCTAAGGATTAACAAAATATGGATTCAAAAGAAACCTGGCTAAATATATTTGCATAAAAAAATAAAAAGTCCAAAACCAAATGTAGAGGTCAATTAAAGAAAAGCAGGAGGCAAGGAGTTAGTAGACCAGGAGTCAGGGTGGAGTGGGCCAAGAGTGTCTGAAAAAACCTGAGAATGTGACTGTAGACAAATTACTTTGGGATATAAGACAGGGGGTTTGCCCTTGAACTCTAACTCTAAAAAGGACCCTTGCTCCCTCTGGAGCTAGCAGAGAATGCATGATGCTTTCATGTGCTGTCATAGCAGCAATAAGATTCTTTAGAAGTGAACATTCTGTGATTCAAAGCACAGTCAGCCAAAATAAAGCAAAATGCAATCAGTTTTTGTGTCGGAGACAATGTAGAAAAACTAATTGATATTCTTTCTGTGACTTAGATACCAAAGTATTTTAATGTGAGATGGCTAAAATTTTGATTTGTCATTTAATTTTAATAAGTAATTTATTAATCAAAAAACCTATCCTCAAAACTGTGTCTTCAGATTATCAAAATTACTATTTGAAAAATTTTTTTAAATTGAGTTGGTTTGGTACGTGGCCCTAAACAACTGGTTTACTTTTATTTTTTTAACCCAATTCAAGAAATCAGTTGTTGAATGAGACTGAAAAGTTTTGTGGGTAAATCACAAACTTTGTAACTCTTTTATATGGCTTATTCGAGGCTTATTTAATAGGCAGCTAAATTTATAAAGATGCTCTGGCAATTTATATTGATACAAAAGCCACAAGAGTAATTAATAGTGAGAATGTCTGTCCATGGGAATATTATGTAACATCTGAACTGAATAAAATGATTTCCAGTCTTAACACTGTGATATTTGCAGGTCATTACCATTCTTTCAGCAAGTATTTATTGACCACGTACAACATTCCAAGCATTAAAATGGATATTAAGAATGTAAAGCTGAGTAAGACAGTTCCTGCTTTCCACTCAGGGCCTGGTGCAGGGGATAGTCAATTACAATGTGGTAAAGCACCAGGTGTACTGTGAACACAGAGAAGGTAGAGCCAGACTCTGCAACGAAGGCGGAAAGAAGGTGGAATCACAAGAGGGTTTTAGAGGTGGTTGGTGAGGCTTGACTTGTCAGGAAGGATGAGTAAAAGTTTGCAAGGTATATAAGTAATATTATTGGCTAACATTTAGTGACTGCTTAATATGTATTGTTTTAAACATTCTACATGTATTAACTCACAACAACCCTACAAAGTCAATGCTATCATTATCCTTATTTCACAGATGATGAAACAGACACAGACAGGTTAAGGAATTTGAGTAAGTTCATATAATTTGTAAATACTGGAGCAAGAATTTAAATTTAGGCACTCTGGCTCCAGAATCCACACCTAGGGGTGTGGGTTTTTTTTTTAATTAAAAACAAATACATCATACTATAGACAGAAAAAGAGGAGTTATAATTGAAAGTGTAAAAATTAAGGTTATTAGCAGCAATATACTTGGG